CCCGCCTGCCCCGGAGGAGACCACATGGCGTGGCAGACCTCTCCTGACCCGCCCGCTGCTCCCCTCAGCAGTGTACTTCGTAGATCTGCCTGTTCTGCTCCCCACTCTGTCTCTGGTGAAGCTTCTCACCGCCCCTGAGCCTCTGGCCTGTACCCCAGTTCTGTATGTACAAATAAATAAATCTTTAAAAAAAAATTAGTGTTATGTGAATGTCCAAGAGTTAAAATTTGGTCTCTGCACTTTGCTTAGCTGAAGAGCTGGGAGACATTAAGTAGATAAGGGTACTCCTAAGAACTGCCATGGGAATCTGGCTCATATGACTAATAGCTGTCGAGAATTCTGGAGAGTACAGAAACAGGGTAAACGAAGGCCACTGAAACCTGATGTCCCAGCAGATAGCAACTTGCAGAGACCAACTCTCCCAGTCATGAAAAACCGCATAAGAACAGGTTATAAAAGAGACCCCCAGGCCCTCCCTGGTGGCTCAACGGGTTAGGAAGCAGCACTGCAAGCTGGCAGCAGCTGATTCAGTGACAGTTCAATCCCCTGCCTGGAGATAATCTCCACATGACGTGGCAAACCTCTCCTGACCCGCCCACTGCTCCCCTCAGCAGTGTACTTCATGGACCTGCCTGTTCTGCTCCCCACTCTGTCTCTGGTGAATCCTCTCGCAGCCCCTGCACCTCTGGGTGCAGTTCTGTATGCATAAATAAATAAATGCATAAATACCCCAGTTCTGTATGCATAAATAAATAAATCTTTTTTTAAGGAAAAAGAGAACACCAAACCCTTCTTCCCACCCATAACACATCTGACGTCCCGTTCCCTGCTCTCTTGCAGGGTATGTCAATAAATCTGTCCTTGTTGTTCTCCATTCTGTCTCATGTAAATTTTATCACCCCCTTACCTCTGACCAGCAACAATAATTTTACCTGCAACACTAATGTCTTGTAAGCCTCTTATTATTCCTGAATTTGTTTATATTTTCAGTCTGTTTGATTCTTATTGTGCTAGGCTGAACTCATACCTTCAGTGGAGGTAAGGGTTTCAAGGTCATTGCTCTATTTCTTTTCTTTGTCCATTGCCTTCATGGGGTTTTCAGTATCCTTTTTCACCTTGCCTTGACTCATAGAGTTTCAATGTTCATACTTCTCAGGCATCTGTTACCACGCCATCACCACCATCAAAGCGCCAATAATCTTCCACTGCCCTTTGCATTTTCACACAATTTCTGGGGTTACATTTACGTTCAATTTGGAGAAGCAGCTTTCCTGGCAATACCCCCATTGCTTCAGAGAAGAAGAACAAAACTTTCAGGTTCAAATAAATATTAGAAGAAAGTGGAAAATTGAGTCTCTGATTATTTAAAGCTAAAGAAGAAATCAAAGACAGTAGCGAAACTTGCAAATGAGCAAGTCATGGCCTGGCTTTGGTGACAAGCAGAGGGTTTTCCCCTCTAACAGTCTTGAAGGTAGAAACAGGTTCCACAAAACCAGAACAAGGCAGTGAAGGACTCGACCTAGATCTTTAGTACCCGAGGTCTGGCAAGGAGGAGGTAGAGAGAGAGATACCTGAAGAGACAAGTGGACAAAGCAAAGCCATGCCCTGACATTCCAGAATATGAAGACAAAAAGGCAGTGTTCTGCTCCTAGATGTTCTATATTTAGCAGTGGGGAAGGGGCAGAAAGTGAGAGAGGGTGAAAGCTCTGATTTGTGTTATCTATTTTCCTGGCAGACAGATTCCCACCTTGACAGATCTCAAACTACCAATATGATGTTTCTGAAATGGGAGCTGGGGTAAGATACACAGTGGCATGAGAACAGGGTTCTACTATCCAGATACAGCAAATGGAAATGAGCTCAAAGACCCACCAACAGTACATTGCAATAAAATACCTAGCTGGGGAGTTGTATTTATTACCTTTATTTTTTAATATCACCGAGTTGTAAGCTTATGTAATTTAATTTTTAATAAGGACTGTGTTTAACAATAAGTCCAAATATTCCTAGCAATCAGCACTCATGAGAATGGACAAGCAGGCGCTAGCGCATTGCTAGGAAATGGGCATTTGCACAACTTCGGACAGTTCTCCTCAGGTGCTTCAAAAGCTACCCACATGATCCATTTGAGTACAACCTCATTCATTACATGCTCACCTAGCAAACCTCTGTTGGGAAAGGAAAAAAAAGGAAAAAAAAAAAGTTTTATCTGCAGTATTTCGCTCTTAGGGCTCTTCCCCCAAACTTTCATGTGAACAGTCTCAAGATTATTTTATAGGTACCCTCTGTGTTGAATTGTTTTAATTGAGAATTTTTTAGTTTTCCTGTTGGAGTATTTCATGAAATTTATTACCTTCAGGGATGATCCCAAAACACCATTTTAGCTTTATGCTTCATTCATAAATTTGAATGTTGCTTGTTCAATGAGTATAATGCTTTCATTTTTCCCTTCTTCAATTTCAGTAAAAGGAATATTGACAGGCAACATCATCCAAGCACCATGCATGATATGAGTTGACAGTCTATGAAGTACACAACCAGTTTCTTATGTCAGAACTGACCATTCCTTTCTGTAGAAGGATTCAGACTTTTTTTACATTTCCAAGAATCCTTGCTAGTATTTTCCTGATGTCTTGGGTATATGGAAGAACTGAGGCAGAGCACCTGGTTCCTTACCCCAGACCCCTCTTTAACTACACCCATCCACCTATTTAAGTAACTTTGTAACAGGGGGATCCCTAGGAAAAGGGGAAGTTCCAGGTTCTCTGCCCACCCCCCTTCCCTTCACAGAAAGAGGGTGGAGCTGAGCAGAGAAGAGAAGGTTTCTGGAGAAGAAGGAAGCAGGGTGGAGGCCAGAGGTGATCTGAGGGAGCCACATGGAGCAGAGAGACATGTGAAGAAACTGAGTTTGCTTCTTGGTCCTGGACGGGGTGAGAATCCCATGGGGAGGTGACTATGGCAGTGTTTATCTTGATTTTGATGTTGTTCTTTTCCTCCCAGACTTGTCTGGTCATGTCTGACCCTTTCCTATGGGTCCCTGCTGGAAGCTGCTTTAGGCTTCTGGAGGGCTTTCAGGCCTTGCCTTGGGCCCATCCCTTTTGGATGGACTTTTGCCCACGAGGGGATGTGTAACTTCAGGTGCTTGATTTAGAAATTATATTCTTTGTCTTTCCTGTATTGTATACTGAATGTATTAAAATTCCTTTCCATTTCTGCTCTTACGTCTTGTCTTGATGCGGTGGATGGTAGAACCTATTTAGAGCAGGCAGATTTGGGGGTTCCGCGGTGCCCCCCTCTGGGTCTCAGTTTGCAGCCTGTAAAATAACAGGCAGGCAGATGATCGATCTCTAAGTACCTTTCAGGCTTTTCATTTTTCTTGCTTTTATTGAGGTAACACTGCTTGACCACATTCTATGTGATTCAGAGGAACAAGTTCACACCTCTTCAGATGGATGTTACCACACCATACTGACCACTGAGGCACTGAATACCTTTCACCAAAACATTAATGGAAAATGGAATTAAAAGGGAGGACATCTCAGGCCCTCCCTGGTGGCGCAGCGGGTTGAAGCACAGCACTGAGAATCTAGAGACGCTTCCGCATGAGTTCGATCCCCGCCTGCCCCGGAGGTGACCACATGGCGTGGCAGACCTCTCCTGACCCGCCCGCTGCTCCCCTCAGCA